CCTATAAACAATCCGATGCGCTGGAAGCTATCACGGTGCGCTAAAAGCCGCGGCTTGGAGGGTTGCCAACTGAAGGGATAACTCAGTGCGCGCAGTCAGTCAGTCCGTGTGTGTTGTGTGGAGTGGCCTACTGGCGGACTGAGAAGGTTTCGACGACTCCTTCATTTTGTTTTTACGGAACGTTGACTTGATGGGATCCGAGCCAGGTGTGGCGGCACACTTAGGGAAGGCTCCGGGCGCGCCAGCTACCTGCTTCCTCTCTCGCATTTGGTCCTCTTGACTTGGTCACGACACCGAGCTGGGGGCGGGGGAGGACACGTAGTTCAAGGATATTACGACTTGTCCTTGTCGATAATGTCCTTATGCCTGTGTAATTAGCCGTCTTGCGGTGTAGGCTCGAATGTAAGCTCTCAATGTACCATGGACGGGCGAGTGTGTCCTTCAGCTGACAGATATACGCCTATCTGCCACAGTATTAGGACTATAATAAATTCAAGCACAAGTCAACGTATCTGGGTCAGCATGCTGTAGAGCACACGGTGGACCTCATCGGTTACGACGGTCGAACTGTGTTGCGTGTTTACCACAAACTGTGAGATGTTCTGTTAAGGTGGTGTAGTAACGAACCTGAAATGTATACCGGGACTTTGTGTAGTGAGTCACAACATCACCACGAGAGAGGTGATAGCACCAGGAGAGTTTCCGTCCATTATGCTGTTGCTGGTAGAAGGTGGTAAACACCTCAAAGCAGTGAGCGAGCTAAAACGTAAAAAAGGTCATGAGAGAAAAGGCGTTTGCATCGACGAGCAGAATGAAGTAAAATAGTAAGATGCTAGGGAAAAGATAAAGGGAATTTAGATTTTCATCGAAAAAAAAAATTTGAGATGAGATTCAGTAGGTAGTCTATGTAAAAGCTTATAAGTATGCATAATTAAATCACCACAAGACGATTCCCCCATTGTTAGTGCACGGTAAAGGACATTTATAAGTATGCATTAACGATACACCCCATCATCACACACTGCGAACACAATCTGATAAAGAGGATCACAACCGGTGAAAACAGGCGAAATACCCAGAGGATATAAAGTATAG